CATGGAAAGCACCAGGAGTCGATTGTATGCATGCAATCTTCTACCAGCGGAATTGGCAAACCGTGGGGAAATCGGTTTGTCAGTTTGTGAGAGAATTATTTAATAGAGCATCGTTAAAGGAGAGCCTGAATCAAACCTAACTAATCTTGTTACCAAAAGCCAATGTACCAGAGAATTTGAGTCAATTCGCAAATAGGCTTGTGCTCAGTGTTGTATAAAGCAGTGACAAAGATAATGGTGAACCGCATCAAACCACTTCTGATAGACGTGATCTCTCACGCACAAGTATGCTTTGTCCTCGGACATTCCATAACTGATAACACATTATAAACCAAAAAGAAATCCACTCGATGCAGGAAAAACAAGGGAGTAAAGGATAGGTGGCGGTTAAGATCGACCTAGAGAAGGCATACAACAGATTAGAATGGTCATTATGATATACTACAGGATATTGGGATCCCACTTAAATGAAACGAATGATCATGCAGTGTGTTTCTTCAATCTCTTCACAAATATATCAGAACGACTCAATGACGATACCTTTTAAACCAACTAGAGGCATTAGGCAAGTTGACCCAATATAACCTTATTTGTTTGTAATGTGCACGCAACGACTAGCTCAAGCAATAAACTGTGGAGTAAAGGCCGGACAAAGCCATTCAAGTTATCAAAAGAGAGACCAGAAATTTTACACCTATTCTTTGCAGATGATATGATTCTCTTCGCAAAGGCCTCAATCGACCAGTTAAATGTAATCCAAAAAGTTCTAGAAAAAATTTGTGTGGTATCTGGACAAAGAGTGAGCATCGAGAAAACCAATATATTCTTCTCACATAACGTTCCATTATAGTTAAGAAAAATATCAGTGGTATATTCGACTTCAAGGAAGTTCTTGACCTGAGGAAATACCTTGGGTTCCAATTCTACATGGCAAAGGAACAAAGGAGACTTGGTGCAAAAGGAACAAGACAAATTAACTATATGAAAGGTGAAACATCTATCTTTAACAGGTCAGATCACAATGGCTAAGGCCGTTCTGACAGCTATACCGTCATACACCAATGCAATCAACCGTACTATCTAAAGGAGTATGTTCTGAGATCGAACGACTAATCAGGAAGTTTATATGGGGTCAAACGGAGACAAAGGTGGAATTAAACTTATTAAATGGAATACAATGTGCAAGCCAAACCCAACCAGAGGATTGGAATTGAAAAAAAGTGTACAACCGAATGAAACATTTATGATAAAGGTGGCTTTCCAGCTAATTAGGAAGAATGGTCAACTTTAGGTTCGATTACTGTGAGCTAAGTACAAATGTAAAAATGCTGTGCTGGAAACACTAAAAAATAGCAAATTGGTCGAAGTTATGTGGAGGCTTGGAAAGAATCTGGGAGACATCAAGGAAAGGAATTATCTGGAACACATGCAACGGTAAGAGCGTCAACTTTTGGAAGGTCTCATGGATTAGAAAAGCAGGTCCTTTGATAAATCACGTTCATAATTCAGTAGCACGAAGACTAGAAATAAGGTCAATACCTGAGATGGTAAACGGAGATGGCGAATGGAAATGAAATGACTTTGAAACGATACTCACATATACAATCTTAGTAAATATAGCAGCAGTAAAACTATCACTACCGACACTCCATGAGGACACCAGGGTGGGAAGGGAGACACGATAGAAAGTTTATGATCAAAACTACTTATGAAGTACGAACTGATCAAGTGAGTGCGGAGAAAGAACCAATATGGAAAGCGATTTCAAGATACAAAGGCCTGTCGAGAATCAAAACATTAATATGGATTGTAGCCCATGAAGCGCTGCTGACGAAGGAGAAACTTTGCAAGCACTTAACGAATTATGCAAGATGTACGAACTGTAACAACGAAGAGGAAGATGTTGACCATATCTTAAGACACTACCAGACAACGAAAGCAATACGGATGGTTCTTATAAAGGATAAAAGGTGGATGAAGTTCTTCACTATGAACCTTAGAGACTGGATATATACGAACCGAATGAACCCAACACATTTTGTAAAGGAATGGGTAGACTGGGACATCATGTTTGGAACCGTCATATGGAACCTATGGTTGCAAAGGAATAAGCGCATATTTGATTCAGAAATGATAGCGAAGGAACCAGTAATTGAACGTAGTAGAAGACTGGTAGAGGAAACCAAGAGGGTCATACTAGCAACATGGGTCAACCGGTCGAGCTCAGACCAGCGCACAAAGGTAGAAACCCGATGGACCCCCCACCTCCGGGGTGGTTGAAGCTAAACACAAACGGTGCAGTCGATAGATCTAATGGTTTTGTATCCTGTGAAGGAGTAATAAGGGACGAGAATGGAAAGCGGAAAATCGGCTTTCACAAGGCAACTAAGGCATGCTCCGTCCTACAAGCGAAATTATGGGGAGTGCTCGAAGGTCTGAAGGTTGCATGGAAGCTTAGGACATGCAAACTGCTAATCGAAGTTGATAGAAAAGACATGTGCAAAGGGATAAAGACAGAACACTTAGGAACCTCAAGGCAACGCTCTGGATACACATTGGTGAAATGCTGCAATTGAAATGGGAAATAATTATCGTCTATGTAAATCGTGAAGGAAACGAAGTGGTAGATCGGATAGCCAAACTAAGCCGAATGAGAGACACAAGGTGCTGCATATTGCAAACGCCACTAGTAGCCTGCTACAAGTTAGTGTCGTTAAAGGAAGGCGGAGATGGGGTAGTTTAGATTAATTGTTTAGTTAGTTTCTTTAGTTACCAAAAAAATTGATATACTATTTTAGTACCACTTTAATAAAAAATATTTTATTAATAATAAAATATTATACTTTAAGTATTATAATAATATACTAAATTATACTATAATAATTTATTATATTATATTTGTATTTTGAATAATATATAATAAATTATTAATAAAATTATTTTTATTTATTAATTTCATAAAATAATATTATTAAATTATTAAATATACAAAATATATTTAATAATAATTTTTAAAATATGATATACTTATTTTATTTTAATATTATAATTTGAATATTATAATAATATTCTTATTTTAATAAGTAAAAGAATATAATTAATAAGATAATATTTTTATTTATTAAATAATTAATATTTATAAAATTTTTATTTTTAATAAAATATAATAGTCTTAATATTTTTATTTATAAAATTTTAAAAATGATATTTTAATAATAATATTAAAAAATTATATTAAATAAATTATTTCAATATTTTAAAAATAATAATATTAATTATTTTTAATAAATAATTATTTATTATATTTGATATTTATAATAACTAATTTAAAAAAATTAAAACTAGTGAAAAATGATTTACATGCATAATCCAAACACCCCAAACACCGTGAAATGATTTTTAGAATTTGTTTTTTAGGCAATGTAATTCCTTTTACATAATTTATTTTCTGGAATTTATTTTTCCTGAAACAAACGAACCCATGGATGTAGATTTTGATTCTGTTTGTTGCTTAATTAGGTTTGATTGTAATGTTTCATTTTGTTGTGAATTAAGTATTAATTATCTTTCGGAAGATGTGTGGTTAACTTTGACTTAAAAGAGCTAAACACGACGAATATAAAATTTTATGTTTAGAACAAATTTCTAAATTTATCTGTTTTTGTGTTTTTTTTCCAAAAAAAATTAATCCATTAAAAAAAGGATCAATCATTTTTCCTCGGTGGCTGGGAAAATTTCCTATTTGACCAAGGATCGAATCTGGGTCATAGGATTGATCCTTCGACTCTAAGATGGTATGGGATTTAATGAGTTCAAAATTTGGAATTCTCTTCAACGAGCTCTGTGTGTTCCTCATGAAGGAAAAAGAAGAAATCAGAAAAGGAGGCCTGGTAATATTTTCTGTTTTAGGAGAAATATAGATTTTCAGTTTTATTTTAAGCTCCTACCAGGGTTTACTATGATTGCGGCCGTCGCGGACGCTATTGCGGCCGTCGCGGATAACTCGGACAGCGACGAAACCGCTATATCGCTGCCGAAATCGCGGTCACGAACCGTTTTTTAAAACCCTGGCTCCGACTGCTGTTCCGAAGGAAGTTTGATTTGAGATGGAAGAAAGATTTTTTCTAAACAGTGTTATAAGGTAGTATACATTTAGAATATTTTTTAACTTACACACATCTTATACGTTTAAAAAGGCAACAGGCCATTTGATGGGTTGAAGGATTTTAGATTGCAGTACATTTTGTGTGTTTATTATTGACAAGTACTTGGAGGCAGATGAAAAGTTATGAGTAGCAAAGCAAAACAGCCTATGTTAGGATATACTTTTATTTCCTTCTCTCTAAATTATGTGTTAAAAGCAAAATAAAGAAGCCCAGAAACATAGGAAAGAAACCCAAGCTATTTCCATTCATAATTTTAGTTTTAAAAATTTCGAGAAAACTGAAATGTCAAAAATGTTAATTAAGCACTTGAGTCAAGAAACTTCAGTTTTTTGTTCTTCTGAAAAATATAAAACATTTTAAAAATAAAATAAAATAACAATTGCTTCACCTTTCATAAAATATGAATTAAACAACCAAAAAGACTTAAAATTTCGATTTTCCAAATTTCTCGCTCTCCACGAGTGGTAACAGAGCATAATTCTCGAATTTCACGTCAGTGAAGTTGAAAACATCACCAAATTTCTATGGTACCAAGAAAAAATTGAAAAATATATGCAGTTGTGATGAAGAAATAAAGCTGAAACATCGAAAAGTAAGCATATTCAAATAAATGCTTCAATTCCTTCTCCTTTTGCTCTTTTCTTCTCCCAAAAAAAATATATATAAACAAACAAGAACGTGTTTGAAGGAAAACAACTAAAAGATGGAATTCTAAACAACACAAGAAAAATGAAATTCAAGTGAAAACAGAAATCAGAGATTATGTAAACAGTTACAAGAACTGTGAAATTCCTGAGCATAAATATTTACAAAATTAAAACACAATGAACTCACAATTATTCGCGATTCGAACGAAGCTCGATTGAAACTGATCCTCGCTGCTCAGCCCATTCTCCCGATGGACGATATTTCTAAATCTTGTAACCACGAAAACAATTTAGAGGGGGGGAGAGCAACACTCGAAATCAAAGATTATATGGAAATATAGGGCTCTAAGAGATTAGATGGTGAAGAGGAGAAGAAATAGAGGTCTGAAAAAGGAAGATTTTGAGGGGGGAAAGATGCTTGACTGGTTGAGAAACAGCGAGAAGGTTGCAAGAGTGAGGAGGAAAAGAGGGAAAGACGATACGTCGAATAAAAAACTATTATTTGATCTGATGACGTGGCAACTACGTGGCTTAATAAGCGGTTCGAGTTCACTCCATCAGACCATGTGGGACCGGATCGATGACATGGCACCGAGATTTAAAGCCGGGCTGTGAATAGTTTTGGGGATTCACTGGATCGTTTAAAGTGACACGTGGCGCATTGTGCGATGAGTTAAAGATGCTTGGGTGGAATCTAAGGACGCTGTAAATACTGGACGATGTCGTTTTCGAAATCAAAGGTGACCACAGTATGGCTGGTTTACAACTAATGACGACAACTTTACGGCTATATGACGATAATACCCTCGATTGTTTTTTATTTTACGCGATTCGGTCTAGAGGTTTTGCCATGTCAGCAAGAAAATATCTTCACTGACTTGGCTGTCTTCCTTATCATGTTATGATTCGTATTTTTTTCCTTGGTACGTTTGGTCTAAATGATGCCAAAATATGAAGTAACTAATATATTCGAAAATTAATGTGATAAAAGAAATGTTAAAAGTTTAAGGGTAAATTACAAATTTTATTACTAAACTTTATCTGTCTCTTATTTAGCTAACTAAACTTTAAAAGTTTTCTATTTTTTCACTGAACTAAATACATTGAGATTTTGTGTCACTCGTCGTTAAATAGTTAACGACGTTAAACGACATTGTTTTGCATCTATATAAAAGCCCATTTATATCGTCGTTAGTGAAAAAATAACTGAGTGACAAAAAAAAGAACCAATGTATTAAATTATGAGAAAATTGAAAAGATTTGAAGTCCAATGAGTGAAAGAAGAAAGAATAAAATTCAGTTATCAAATTCGTAATTTACTCAAAGTTTTTTTTTTAAATAACTAGAAAATTTCATTCATCGAAAGTCATATCAACAAATGTCTTACCAATTACAAACTGAACAAATATAGTCGAGACTATCGAAAATAAAATATAACAATGATAGCTTAAAGATAGCCTATAAACAAAACTATTAACAAGTGAAGCAACGACATATAAATTGAACCCACCAACGACTCTTAGCATCAAACATGGATGAGAGAAAACTTGAAGAATAATAAAAAGGCCAACGGATAATGCGATCTCCCCTTAATAACAATCTCATCCGACACATATTACGATAACCAACAAACCGTCTTGTACAACCAAACAGAGAAACCATGCTACGGGAAAGCAACAACCATGCATTTAGGTTAAAAGTAATTCTATCTACAAGTGTGTGCGTATTATCAATGACTATTAAAAAACATGATTGATATTTTTAATATATTATTATTTTTATATTTACATAATTATCATGAATGTTTATTAAACAGCATAAATGCACATGAGTTACCCATAAAAAAAATGTACACAACTAATATTGTATTGCAAACACATCCTCTATCTCTATTATAACACCCTTTAGCTTACCGTGTACCAATTAATTGATAAATGTACATGTATATTTTTTATAATAAATGTACATATATCTTTTTCATTTCAATTGAAAAATCATTAATTAAATTAACTTTTTAAATATATTTTTATTATTTTTATATATCATATTGTGAGTGTGATAAAATTTGGGAAAACTACACGTCCAATATTTAAACTATTACTTTTGTTTCATTTTGGTCACTCAACTATTTTTTGTTTTAAAATCATATCTAACATTTAGTTTTGACTTCATTTTGGTCACCCACAGTTAAAAAATTAGTGGTGATGTTATGTGTCATCATAAGATAATATCACATCATCATTGAAAAAATGTGATGTCCACAGTTATGTTATTTTTTTAATGGTGGGTTACCAAATTAAACAAAAACTAAATTTTAGGTATGATTTTGAAACAAAAATAATTGGGTGATTAAAATAAAAAAGTTATAGTTAAGGTACTAAACATGTAGTTTTCCCTAAAATTTAACACATATTTTAGAGATATCTATAAGTATAATGTAGATAAACGGTGACTATATTACGTTGAAATGATCTTTTTGATCATTACAATTTCAAAAAATTATAAACTGATTATTAAACTTTCCAACCGTTACAAATGATCATTAAATTTTATCAAACTATTACAAAATGATCATAAACTTATTGAACTATTACATAATGGTCCTTAAATCTATCAAAATTTATTATTATTTTATAACGTGCATTAATATTTTATAACAATTCAAAAAGTTTGATGACTATTTTATAATTTCTATAATTTTAGACACCAAAAAAATTATTTCAATATAATGTTGTTGTTTTCTGTTGTTGTAACCATTTATTTACTTTACCCAAAATATAATGAATCAAAAAGAATTTACTTAATTCAAAATTGATTGCTATAATTTGTTAAAATGACTTAGCGAATTAAACTTCTAAATTATAATTTTTCAGATGATGAATCTTCTAATAAATAATAAAATTCATTAATTATTTTATTACTATTATTCATTGTACAATAATGAAAAATAAATATTATATTTATTAATTTTGTTAAGGTTTTTTGAAGGTATATCTACACTTTTTTATTTTAGTTATTTCAGACAAAAACTAAAAATATATACAAAATATTTTTTTATAAATTATATGTTTTCTGATTTTATACCTTATAAATATTTTTTCGAAACTCTTTCTATAAATAGTAAAATATTAGATAAATAAAAAAAAGTCATCTAATTTTGTTATTGGTCAAAATTAGTAATAGTCGATTTTCGCCAATAACAGTAAGAGGATCACCTTTCATCTCATTTAAAAATTTAATTTTTCAAGGAGCACATCATAATTAATCTATTTTAAGAATTTAATTATAATTATAATTTTAAAAATACTGAATGACTTGTTAATTTTTTTTCATTATCTTTTTCTTTCTTGGTCAATATTTTTAATTAACCTTATTTAACCAATTAGGTAGGACTCTTTGTATAAAATGTAAAACATTCAACCATTGAGCTATACTAGTCATTTGAATTAATTTGACCATATTTTTTATTTAACTTATATAATGGTATCATCACAAAATCAATATTTTTTGATTATTATAAAATTTTAAATATGAGGCATTTTAAATTATGACCGAAAATTTAGCCACTCAGCTATACTACGAATCTCTTTTTATTATATTAAACTTAATACTTACTTGTATCATTATTAAAATAAAAGACATTTTTTACTTTATTTAGAAATAAAAAAAATTAATAGTTTATATAATTTTATAAAATTTATATTAAAACATTCTAAAATATTATATTATAATATTACAAAAATATTTATTTGATTTTTAAAATATATTATTTATTTATTTAAAATAATATTATTTTTAAATTATCTATTTAATTTTAAATAATTTAAAATTTTGAGTAAACTACACGTTTAATACACAACTATCACTTTAATTTCATATAATATTATTTCAAATTAATAGGATAATTTAAAAATAATATTATTTCAAATAATTAATTAATATCATTTAAAAAATAAATAGATTGATTTAAAAAACTAAATAAATATTAAAAATATTTTTATAATATTATAAATATTCTTTTTTAGAATGATTCAATATAAATTTTATAAATATATATAATTATTTAAATATTTTTTAGTTTCAAATAAGGTGAAGATTTATTCTTTAATTTAATTATAAGTAAGTATTATGTTCAATATAATAAAAATAAATTCATAGTATAACTTAGTGGCTAAGATTTCTATCATCAATTTAAAGTACATCATATTTGAATTTTATAATCATCAAAAAAATATTATTTTTGTGGCGATACTATTATATAAATTAATTATGAAATGTGGTGAGATTAACTCAAATGACTAACATGGCTCAATTGCTTAATGTTTTACATTTCATACAAAAAAAACCTAGGTTCAATCCATTCTAGTAATAAGAATGATTTTTTTTTTTAATTTTATCTTCATAACTGGTAATGTGTCACCCTAAAAAATGAATTAAAAATATTGATGAAGAAAGAAAAAGATGATGTGAAAATTAAAATTAAAATTAAAAATTATTTTATATATATATATATAATTGACATGTCATATCACAATAATATTGTTAAAATTAATATTAAAATTAAATTCTTAAAATATATTAATCATATAGTGGTCTTTGAGTGTAACACCCCTTTTCTCATATTCGACGCTGAACACGAGTCAAGGATGTCACATAAATCTTATACATATATCTTTTTTGAAAATCAATAAAATTTTGATTCTTAAAAATCTGACATTTAGAATCAATCTAACTATAAATAATTTAATCACGAAAATTTGAAAAGTAACATTTAAAAATATCTTTGCATTCGAATTCAAGCAGCAATATTGCAGTTCAATATTGTTTCATATAAGGAGTGAAACTGCCTAAAAGTTGCCTAATATAAAATTCATTCAGATAGCCAATAAATTATAATTTAATAAACTACTAATCATGCAAGCTACTATTTATATAGAGTATTACCCATTATAAGTTATCATATTTAATTATACAAACCAATTTGAAAACTATTTATACCATAGCAAACATAACATATAAAATATACATGCAACTAGAAATGAAAAAAAACATCGAAAGATGGCATATTGATACTGGGGAATTGATCTGATTCTTAAAAGGTGATGTCGAGCCTAACTCCGAACTCAATACGCTTTCCTTTACCAAAATACCATAAATATCATATAAATTAAAGTAACACATTTCAATATATAAAAATATCATAATAAACCAAAATACCAAAAATATCATATAAATTATATGAAAATATAAAACAGACTTTTTAAAGTCATCCTTTCATCATATAACCTGTAGAAATCGACGTTTTATATATAAGACAAACAATGCCAAATCAAAGTACTCAGTAAAATATTTACTTTTCATTCGAAACATATAACCTATACTTTTCACATATTCAAATCATAGCCCAGTGTGTTATAAATGAGAATGCATGGTTTTCAA